AACCAGGGCTACAAAGAGAAACCCTGTCTTGAAAAACAAAAACAACAACAAAGAGCAAATAGGAAACTGCTGTTGTGCATGGGTTCATCAAATCCAATGTTCATGTGGCCATTGCATGATTATGAAAAGAAGAAAAGGGGTAACACTGAGGGGCAGGTTGGTGTGTGTTTTGCTTTGTCTGGAATACTCTCTTTTCAGTCTCGGTGAGGGGGCAGGCCTGTAATCCCAACACTTGACAGGCTAGGGCAGTACTACTATGAATTAGTTCAGCATTAGCCTATGCTAAGTACTGAACACCAGGATGTCCAGAGCTGACCAGCAAGGACCCTGCCTAAAACCAAACCAAACCTACCCTCAAACAACAGCAACAACAGAAACCCCCTGATCAGTCCTTGAGTCCCTTTCAGTCCTTTGTTCACTTCCACTCTGTGCCTCAACCTTGTTTGTGACTTCCGTGTCAGGCACCATCCTCTACATTTAGCTAACTGAGTTCTGGTGTGGCCATTACTTCTGAAAGACTTTTGAGAGTCTCACCACCCCAGTAAACATCTGAGGAACTCACAGCGAGCTCCAACATCTAGGTTGAGATGTTCTGAATTTGGAGATAGGATGTGGGGAATTCAAATTCCTACATGCCGTGGTTCAGAAATCACATTTTGAAAGTACCGTAGAACTGTAAAATGATCTTTCTAGAAGCAAAACAAGTCATTTTAATCAAGGCTGCCTAATTGAAACCTTCCAATGGTTTGTTCTTTGAATAGTTGTTAATTGTGACCTACAGGTAGTAGTGACCATCTTAGAGGAGGCTCTGTGATTCCCTTTATGGTCATGTCTGTGGCCACCTCTTTTTGCCATCATTTTTCTCTTTCCCAGCAAGTTTGGCCTTCCTTTTTAGCTACTTGGTATCCATTTAGCAAGGCACAGGCCAATAAAGACTTAGAGTGTGTGTTCAGATGGGAGTTGAGTGCGTGTCCATGGATGACTTTTGCATGCTAATAAAGTATTGGACATCCTTGTTATTTTGAAATTGTGGAGGAAAAAGGACATTGATATGTTATCTCTGCCCTCAAAGCAAGCCTAGGAGGCCATGTTGCAGAGGGAACTGTGGTTTGTGGTGTTACCCTCCCAATCTGGAAGGAGGTAGAACAGTCTACTGCTCAGGTCTTACCCTAAGTCTGTAGTGGCATCAACTCACCCTCCCACCCCTGCCAGTATCCTACTGGCAATATGTAATAGCTATCCTGTTTGGTCTCAAAGGGCACTCAAGTGGCCCCATCACCTTCCCTAGCAATTAGTAAGTGAAAGATTGAGTCACTCAAGAATGGATGTTGACATTTAGTGTGAGTATATAGATTCCCTCCAGAAGCACAGGTATGAACCATTACTTCGCTTGTTAGTTAAGTCAATTATTCTAGGCAAAGTCTTACTAGTCATCATGGCTGGCCTGGCATTCTCTATGTCCGACCAGAACTCGCTGCGATCCTCTTGCAATGCCACTGTAAAACTGGAATTATTGGCGTGCACCACCATTTATTATTATTATTATTATTATTATTATTATTATTATCATTATCATTATTATCGTATCTTGTTTCTATTTGGCTCAAGTGAGGCACTGGAATCTGCAAATAAATTTTCTTTGAAACGTCACAGAGAAAGCCTCTCTGGAGCTGGAGCTTTTCCTTTCAGCCCATAATAGATTCTGATACATTGTGTGTAGAAGGTCACCCATTTTCTACATTCAAGGTACAAGTTCACTAGCAGTTGAGAGGGCTAAGACATGGAGTTAGGGAGGTGGTCTCTAGCAGGACTTTCTGTCTAGGTTGCCATGTATTCGGCTACTTGGAGTCAGTCAAGGCATGCAGAGTGCTAATTGCTAGGGAAGGTGATGGGGCCATTTGAGTGCCCTTTGGGACCAAACAGGATGGATATTAAATATTGTCAATAGGATACTGGCAGGGGTGGGAGGCTGAGTTGATGCCACTACAGACTTAGGGTAAGACCTGATGAACTCCATCTTGGAAGCTGTGCCCTAGAGAGCTGTAGCACTGGGCTGAAGGAGCAGCCTTAGAACTTCCCAGCCCTTTCTTCAGCCTCTTCCTCCGCCTGTTTCATTTGGAAGCGTGCCTTTCGTGTGAACTGGTGTACATGCTTCCATCTTCTCTTTTCTTCACACTCCTGATGCCAGAGTTTCCCCCAGAAGGCAGTAAGTCACTTAATGTTGTCCTCAGGCCAGCCTTTCCACTGTGCTTTCCTGTGCCTAGGGCTCCAAATCTGTTAAGTGTTTAGGCTGTCCCCCACGATAGCCATCTCATCTGTGAAAAGAGTAGAATCTCACTTCAAAGCTTTGAGATCTTCCTTATTCGATATACCCTGCCCTCACTGCAGACTCACACCTCATTGCTTCCTTCAGTTATCCAAAATCATCCCCATCTCACAGGGCTTTTGGAAGGCTAGCTGAAGCATCAGCAAATACATACTTAGATGCAGTCTACTTTATATTTGTAATATAAATTTACTTAATACATATGCTTCAGTTTCTTTTCTGTTGCTGTGTCAAATAGCATGACCAAAAGCAGCATAGATGAGAAAAGGGTTTATTTCATCTTACAGATAACAGCCAGTGAGGGACATCAAGGCAGGAACTCAAGCAGGAACCTGAAGTCAGGCTGCTTGCTGTTCCAAACAGCATTTATCCCTGCCAAGGAACTCACTTCACAGTCAGAGAAGAATGGCAGGAACCATGGAGGATGCTGCCTGCTAGCTGGCCCACAGGCCATGCTTAGCTAACTTTACAACACAGATGGGAACTACTTGCCCAGGGAATGGTGCTGCCCACAGTGGGCCAAGATCCCTCTTACAAAGACAGTCCCCACAGACATGCCCACAGGCCAGTCTGATCCGGCCAACCCTCTGCTGAGACACTCAGGTGACTCTAGGCTGCATCAAGCTGTCAGTTACAGCTTTGTTGCATGACTTGGTGCTAGTTTGGTCCCTTTGCCTAGGAGGGTATTGAGGTGACGACTCAGCAGTTAAGAGCACTGATCTGGTTCAATTCCCAGTACCCACAGGCAGCTCACAACTGTCTGTAACTCCAGTTCCAGGGATCTTGACATCCTCACACAGACATACATGCAGACAAAACACCAATGAACACAAAATAAAAATTAATTACATATTAAAAAAGAGGCAGACATTAGGTGACTTGTCCAAGGTTTTTAGGACACCACACAGCAGGGCTGTGATGTCACTCATGCTTGTTTGTATTCTAAAGCTGGGTCTTAGAACTGGTCAATTTTGCACCCTCCTAGGATGGAACAGGATGGAACCCAATAGGGGAATTAGAATATGTAGACCAGCCTGTTACCCCTCCATTTCTGTTCACTGACTCTTCTCCATGTCTATACTAAGCGTGTCAAGGCCCAGAAAAATCACTGGTGCACTTGTTCCCTCACTGACTACAGGACACAGTCTCAGCTCCTAAGCTGCCACTCAGCATTGGCACCGTGTGGTAGGAAGCACACGTGGGGTTCCACCCCCGGCTTTGCTACTGAACTTGTTCTGTGACATTAGAGAAGTCATTCCACAGCCTGACAGAAGTTTCCTCACCAGCCAAGGAAAGGTGTGGTACTGTCTCTTCATTTCTTCCCAGGCCTACACTTTTGTGACTTTGTTTGTCTTCCTTAGCTATGTTGTCTCTTCCTTTGTGGTAAAAACTCTTTCCCCCATTTTCTCTCTCGTCAAGCTCCCAAACCTTGCCAACTTCCTCTGGGCTCCACTGCCCTGCCAGTGCCTCCTTTTCCTGCTCATCTGATCTCCACTCCTACCCCCTGCGCTCTTTCTGCACAAGACTGGTTTCCTGTCACCTGTCCAGCCCTCTAACAAGTGAGGACCCACTGCCCTGTCTTTTCTGTGCACATATATTGGCTTTGTGTGTCGTACAAGGGCAGGTGACTTTGAGTGGAGCCTCTGCTTCAGAAACAACTTCAGCAGTTACATCTGGGCCCTCTGTCTGGTGAGCTGAGGTCACCAAGTCAGAAGGCTGTCATGGGCTCTGATGAAGTAAGAGGGTAAAGCCATGAGCAGCGGAGTTAGGGAGTTGGCCTGTAAGAAGGGAGAGAGGCTAGAAGCCCTGATACTCCCTAATCTTCCCGACTAAGGGCGTAGGTTGCAGTTTCTCCTCTCCAAAGACCAGAAAGGTACCAGAACATGCCTTCAAAAGACAGAGCAGACTGGGTAAGGGACATTGCTTAGGTACGAGAGCCTAATTTCAGAGGTGGGACAGAGTCAGAAACAATGTCCTAACACTTAAAATTCTTTGCTTCTGCTTGAATAGATAAGGGCCTTGGGGTTGTGGCCCGCAGGATATACGGTCCTAGGAACCTATTGGTCATTTAAGGCTGTGTGTGTTTAGGCCCTTCTGCTCCTCATTCGAGCATATCATAGTCCCTCCTAACCTGATGGAAGCACTTGGGCCTAGGGAACTCTGAGAGAAACATGACCGCTTTCATCTGAAAATTCCACGTAGGAGAAAAGTTGACCCTAAACGTTACGTAGCCAGGAGTTCGGAGGCAGATCCCAGCAAAGGAGTCTAAGGCATTCAGACAGAAATGGTGAGTGCCAGGAATTCAAACGCGGCAGGGGACAAAACAAGAGAAGCCGTCTCCCTCTTTAGTCTAAGGGAGACACGTCAGCCTGAGCCCCGGCAGTTTCTGAGGTCCCGGGAGGGGCGACGGGAACTGGGGACGGGCTCTAGGGCCCCGCGGCCGGGGCCGGGGCGGGGTGGAGTGTAAGGTTACAGGGACCGGACTAGCGACCCTCCGGGGCAGCTCGGGCGGGCGGCCGGGAGCGCAGGGC